GGGAGAGAGGGCGGGGGGTCCCGGCCGTCCGCCGGGCCCTCCGCCGGAGGAGGGGAACAGCCTTGTGCGAGAGTAGGGCTGGGGCCGCGCCGCGAGTCACCTGCTGGCGGGCAGAACGCCTTTTCCTGGGCTGCTGCCGACAGTCAGCTGTCGGAGAGAGCGATCGGGGCGGGTTAGAGGGAGAAAAGTCGGTGACGGCTCTGAGGGGGGAAAGGGGGAGGTCGGGCAGAGCCTTTCCCCCCCACCTGCAGATGGCAAGAGGAGGCGGCATTGCAACACGCGGCCTAGCACCTGCCCCCGTTGCAGCAGGGCCTGTTCCAACAGGAGAAACGCCGCCGCCTCCAGCACGTCACGGTGCCCCTTGTTCCGTGGGGGGACCTTTTCCAAACGTGCCCGGCACAAACCGGGAGAGCAGCTGGCTGCCGGCTTGTGTGGCACGGCGGTGCTGGCTGAGCACCCTGGGAGGTACCGGTGCTATCAGAGGATACCAAACCCCAGGCCTTTTGTATTTTGGAGAGCCTTTATTTGATGGCAGTGTTACAAGTGGTGAACTTGGCGTTGCTAAATAGGAGAGACAGCAACAGCGTTTTGGAGGAAAGACAGAAAGGCTGATTTTCCAGGCAGCCACTGAGGTGTTGCAGCTGTGGGGCTGGCTGGAAGGAAGGGCAGGTTTAATGCCAACCACATCGGGGCTCGCTTAGTGCGGTGGCTCCCAGCAAACGCTGCCTATGGGAGGAGCGTGCCCAAAACCGCATACTGCTCTCCTTCTGTGCAGTCTGGTGGAGAACTTGTACTAATACAGCTGGAAAAAACATGACCTTTTGGAAGCCACGCTCATTTAGAAGCCAAAAAAATGCAGTAGGGAATATGTACTTGAAGTGTTAAAATGTTAACCTAATTTTATGATGATGTTCAATGTGAAGGAAACTGATCCAGTGAGCTTTGCACATGTGAGTGATTCAGTTTCAGGTAACATCATCCAGCGTGCAAGACGGGGTTGTAACAGAAGGCAAAATGAAAGTATATCTGTTAAACATTAAAAGCCCAGTCTTGATTTGCTGAAAAGAAAAATCAGACCAAAATTAACTCGCTTGCTAAACATCTTGTTTGGTTTTGTGGTGGTCAGGGTTTTTTATTATAAAATTTTTATTAATTTTATATTTAAGTTCTGGATGCTTCAGAGATGAGCTAAAGTGGAACCATGTGGAAATTGTTTTACTGTTTGTAATGAAAGTTCTGGTTTAAGATGTGTGGAATCCCTCAGAACATAGTAGTATGTTCAGGACAAAGTTAACTGTAAAGAAGAAAAGGAAACGGAAAGAAAACCAAGAGAATTCCAGACCAACAGGCAGAGCATGGTAAATATTCTACTGTTTTTTCTTTTTAACCTCAGCATTTAATATTATTTGTAGTTAACTGGAGAAAGAGGTGGAAAAAGTTCTTTACAGAAGTTAAGTCAAACAAAAGAGGGAGCTCTTCCTATACCTGTCCAGCTTTTCCCTATGATTACTTTACAAAATAATTCCTGTGTAGGAATATACTTAAATGCTTTCCTAAATAGCAAGTCTTGTTGGGAGGGGGCTAAGAGAAGCAGTTCATACCCTTACGTTAGTTATTGGTGATTGACAGTGTCTTTACAGGACAAATTCATGCTGATGTGGGTTTTTTACAAGATTGGAAGACAAAGTCACTGAAAATGTAAAAATGTCTGAAACAGACTATGGTGAATTATAGAAAAAACACGACCACAACAACTGTCTTGTGTGAACAGATGCCATTTATTCCTCACAAGGATTGGTGAAAGCAGAAGGATTTTCTGCTTAATCATTCCAGTTTTGCTGATGGCCCGTTGTCTTCGTCCAGTTCTGGGTCAGCTAAGGCAGTAGCAAAACTCCCCCTGACTGAACATTGCAGGATCAGGCGCTGGATTTTCGTTCTTGGCATTACTATTTCATGCTTCTGTATACTGGTGTAGGAAGCTTGTGCTAATTTGAGAATCTGGTGGAGGGGTTTATGACTGAAAGTCGTAATTTTTAACTTTAGATCTGTAACTTGGTTTTGCAGAATTAAGTCTATATGTATAATGTATAGACTTTTTTTTATTTTTATATATTTATATTGTTATATAAGTTGTGTGTACATGTATGTGTGCCTGTATATATATGTAAAAATACATATATATGTGGTAAACCCCTACTTGATGTTAAAAGTTTGTTGGATACTAGAAATATATATATACACATACACAGAGAACTTAAGATAGTAGAGATGCTTTTTATTTAAATTGAAGATTCAAGTTTTAAAATTCCTTTGTTGTTTGTGACCAGCTGCAGTTAAATTAATAAAACTTAAAGCTACAAAAATTGCCCCATGCTAGACGATCAGATGAGGTATACTAACTAGATAAAAATTGTCTGAGTTTGTAGCTGAAAAAACTACCACCAGAGTTATTTGGGTAATTGTTGCATTACAACAAATCTCATGATCATAGTCAATCTGTCAATTAATAGATGGTCTGAAGTCTACTTTCGCAGTAAGCCTAAGGAATCAGCTGCCAAGTAAGGCAGCATCCTGAGGGTTTCTAGTGATCTAGACCTTGAGATGATGGAAGTTCTTTAAAGTACTCTGGTTGCTGTCCTTTCTGTGAAGTTCACATATTGCCAGTGCAGTCAATTTCCAACCCCTGCTTTCAGTATGGTTGTCCATTTTAAATAAATAAACAACCGCAATTGAAATGCAATGTGAAATGTGGAAAAAACCCAAAGGAACAACAAGAAAAAAGATATTTTAATTTCTGTGCTTTTATTAGAGACTTCTGCTGTGGACTCGTGACTGTAAAATTCTCTTCCTACAGGCTTCTGCAAAATTGTGGTACTCATTTTCAAAATATATTCTTTAAAGATTTGTACTAATTGTTGCTAAGTTACATGGCTGCTGATTGTAAAAAAGGACTAGTGTTCATTTTTGCATGGGTGATAAGAAGGAAGTATTTAATTTTCCGAGCTTCAGATATTATACCGTGCAATGAGACTCCTTGTCACATGATGGCTAATCCAATCATAATAGCTGGCAACTTTTGTATACACGCCAGGGTGACCAGCCTCCCCACAGTTCTCACCCCAACTCACAATACCCCAGACATATGCCACATTTTCTGCATCAAAACAGACCAAGGGTCCTCCTGAATCGCCTTTGCAACTGTCTATGGAGCCATCGTAAGTACCTGAAGCAAAAGAGGAAATAAAAAGCAAAAATAAGTTCATATGCAAGCTAGCACACAAAACAGAGCTCAGGAGGTTTTTCAGGTCCGTGTCGCTTCCTGACAGATATTTGTCTAATGGTCACCAGTACAGGAGGTTCCTAACCTCTTCAGTCTATTACTTCTCATTTCTTTTTAAGTGCGAAGCCTCTCTTTACATTTGTGGCTGGCCCAAATTCTCTTACTTTGGTTTGATGTCAGTGATAGGAGTCTTGTTTTACCCTGTGCAATGAGAAGAATTCAGCCATATTGCCTATTATATCATTAGAATTAGCTCATAAAAAGTGAACAAAAGTGGGAGGAAAAAGGTATAAAGATTTGTAGGCTGATTCCTATGGAAATGGAGCTATTGTAATGTGTGTATGACTACATGTCTGCCTTTGGTGTCCTCCACCCAATAATTCATTGGCCAGTTTCATCTGTACAAAGCTGTACAGACAGGCAGAGGCCTCAAAATTATTTTCTCTACCAGCTTTATGAAAATAGGTGGGCAGGTACAAGAAGGAGAGCATGTGAATGCTGGGATTAAACTTTACTCAGTTTAATTAATATTTGCTTGTATAACTAACTCCCATGGATACTAGCCCTTAATACCAAAGTTTGTATTTGCATCAGGGAGGGGAAGCTAACCCCAGATATCCCTTTTCTGATGTTGTCCCATGTGATACTGTCTTTGTTCCCTCCTGCTAAAGTATGATCACTTGAAATACATTGGAGATCAAGAAGATAAGTTACGGAACTTGCACAGTAGACAAACCCAATATCTTATAGATGTCATGCTGAATTTATCACAAATGACTTGGCTTTTATATCTGGTTTTTATTTTTCTCATTAAGTTTCTTTAAATATTGCCTTTAATTTTGATTTAAAGAACAATTGAAACTAGCTGCTCTGTAAGTTGAATACTCATTGCTCTTTTAGTCATGTGTTTGGCTATACCTTTCGTTACATGAGAAGCAAAAAAATCTGTATTCAAAATCCTTATTTTAGTACTAGGAGTGACAACCAGTTTCCGGGCCAGACTAATCTTAGTTTGAAAAGTTAAATCGTATTTTTCCTGGTGTGCAGTGTGGTAGTGGCAAATGTCTAAGCAGATGAATAGTCACATTCTAGTCAACGGGACTACTAACATGCTCTAAGACAGGCATTTGCTTAAATATGTTGCTGAATCAGAATCAAAGGTAGGAAGTTCAGTGGGCTGTGAAGTGCTTGTGTATTTAGAAAACATAACTCAAATTGCATGCTGAAATTTGCCCACATAAACATATAAACTTGGCATACTGTCATCTTAACTCTGTTTATAAATAGATACATAATGGTGGATGCATCTAGGCTCCAATGGCTAGCATTTTGCTAATGGTGATACTGTGGCAATCAGTTTATTGTCTTTCCCAAGTCTAAAAGATTCTAAGCCAGTATGTCTGACCTTATAAACAGTGGGTTTGATGGTAGAGAAATTATAGTAAGAAAATTGATGCTTGCCTGCACATGCCATTTGTTTAAAAAATCGTCCTGGATACATTTCAGAACAATTCTGGAATAAATTAACATTGCCCCACTTGAGGATATATTGTTTGGTATAACCTAGAAAAGAAAAGAATAAACTTTTCTAAATTAAAAATGGTTAAGTACACGAGACACATTTAATATCATAAATTGAAAGTTATATATTTGCTTATCTACAGAATATAATCTTCAACATGATAAAGCATATAGCTTAAACTGCCACTGCCACTTACCCCATATGAATTGCAGTACATTGGACATGTATTTCAAAATAAAAGCAGAGTGGTTTAATTGCAGTGTTAAATACAGTACTTTCATCTTGTGACATTTTCACCCTTTCCCTTTCCTTGTCTTCCTCATTTTTTTCTGTTTTCCATATCAAGGTTTTCAGACACTGGGAAACTGGTATATTGTGTTCTAGGAAACAGAGATGTGGCTCTGATCATCCTTGTTACCTTTTTTCCAATTCTACTATGCCTTTTTCGAGATGGATGGACCAGATACTG